TGTCCTACTTTCCTTCTCCCAGTCTCTCCTTTCCTGCCTTGTTGGTCTTTCCTGTCCAGCTTTCATCACTAGTGTGTATTCCAGTGGCTTTTACCGAGTTGACTCACGCTCCACACTGACTTCAGGGCTCCAAGTATCCCCAGAGGCATCAAAAATGCTCTGAAGATTTATCTCTCTTCCACGCAAATGGGTATTCCCCATTTTCCTGCTTCCAGGCTTTGAGAGAATCAGCCAAGGTCCCAGAGAGCATGAGTAAAAAAATACATGAGAGAAGGGAAATGTCTAGCTGTATCAGGCAAAAAACAAAATAAAAGAAACCACCCAAGGCAAATGGTTCCACATCCACCACTTCATATTCCTCAGTGGTGATGGAAGGCAGGAAACAGGAATGTGTTCTCCAAAAAAGGAAAAGCCTGGGGAGACCCTAAGGAAGGGTGTTGGTGTCCAAAGGAATGTAGTGCTGTCCTCTGCTCAGGATGGTGATCCTCGTGTCTGCTCAGCAAACACAGGCAGGGCCTCCAAAGACAGATGGACAGGGGATGTTCACAGCTGTTTAGCTGATTGGACAGAAAACACAGGTCTCCTTGAGAAACTCTGTATTTTAAAGAATTAAGCCATAAGGTGATAAATGCTATTTTATCATCAAAAGGCTATTTCATATGCCACTAAAGCATCTTTTTGTTCTCTTGTACCCTCTAGTGCCCTTAATCTACTGCTGTACTACTTTGTATTGTTATATTTGAGTACTTTACCCATTACAGTCACCAAGGTGCTCCCCTACCCCAGTCTCACCTACAGGGAGGGTATCAAGGCAAAGTCATGTGGAGTCACCCAAGGTGACAGGGAAAAGCTGTGGTCCATCAAAGGGCTTGGTGGATGCTCCAATAATCAAACTGTCCTGCCTGCCTGTTTAGTCCCATTGTTCTGCCACAGGAAAAGGCAGAGGTAGTAAAAAAACCGTAAGGACAATTCAAGTTTTCATCAGAAGAGCAGCAGTATTTAGTCAGCAGAACACACCATGTGTTTTACAGACAAGGCAGCTTCTCCAGCATTTCTATGGTAAAAAATACAGGCTTTATTTTCTTCTATCCTCCACATGGCAGCACAGGTGTCCAAGTTACAGTGATACAAAATGAACAGGGCCCAGGGGGAGCTGCAGAAATGTGTTCTGAAAGAAAAGAACATTGAGTAGGTTTTTAACAAACTTTGCACCCATGCCTGTTCCAGTTATCTTGAGTGATCTTGGAATTTCTGTATCACATTAGCGTAAATTCCCTATTTTCAGTCTTGCAGGATCCTAAGTTATTAAAATCTGAGGCCAAGGCACGTGGGAGCCAAATCTGGATGCCTGTACACACATCAAGTAACGCATTCTGTTCAAGCTCTGCCACTGCCATCAGTGGGTGTAGTTAACAAATGAATCACTACTACTGAAGTAGAGAACTCAAATCCTGTTTTTTTTTATAACTATGAGTGGCCCAGGGGTGAATCTCAGCTCATGCACAAACTTTGAGCAGGCTCAGGAACCGATAAGACATGTCCCATGAACAGCTGGACATGTGAGATCCATATGGAAGGCGAACACAAAACTACAAACCAGTGAGTAGCACCAACACCTATGACTAAGGAAAGAATCTGAAAACAAGAGCCAGGACACGATGCCACAAGTCAGGATTGGAGCTTAGGGCTTCATTTCTGACCAGAGGAGAGCCATCACAGATGCTGCCTGCTAGGGCTACATCAAAAAATGCACAGAGTGACTTGTGTGTCTATGACTAACAGAGAGGCTGTGCTTACTCTGCTGAGGGAAAATTCAAAAGCTCTGAAGCAATCCTGATTTTCTCCTGGCCTTAAGGTCTCTACATGCAAGGTCTCTCAGGGAAGGTATAATTACTCAGAAAGATCTCAGAGAGAAAAATAAGACCTCTTCATGTCACGTTGACTGATCATAAGAACTGGGTGAAGTTTATAGTCTTCACAAGCCCATTCAAAGCAGCCTTAGAGATGAAAGTCTTGTTTTGAAGACAAACACATTCAACAAAGCCTGCCCCAGATAAAGCCAGCTGCATTCCAATCAGATGGAGACTGTCCCATTTCATGAAGGATGCTTACCTGAGCCTCTGCTAATGAACAATGCAGAGCAGCACAAAAGAGAGCTTACCTCATTTTGCATCTCCCTATCATTACTATTTCAACTTCCATGGAAGTTTTAATTCAGAGGTTCAGTAATGAAATATTTGATAGACTGATGACACTGACAGTGATGGACTGGTGATGTGGAAGGGCAAGTTTGCAAGAGGTAAGCTGAGAGCTACAGTCAACACACCTGAGGGAAAGAATGCCATCCAGAGACTGACAGACTTGAGAGGTGGGTCTGTGTGAACCTCATGGCTCCAGGAGAACTTACAGCACCTTTCAGTAGCTCAAGAGAGGGAGTTTTTACAGGAATATGTAGTAACAGGACAAGAGTAGTGGCTTTCAATTTAAGGTTGGTAGGTTTTAGAACCTAATAATAGATAATGGAAAGAAGTTCTTTATTGTGAAGCTGATGAGATTATTGAACAGGTTGCCCAGAGAAGTTGAAGACATCCCATTCCTGGAAGTGTTCAAAGCCAGGCTGAGTGGAGCTTTGAGCAACGTGGCCTAGTGGAAGGTGCCTTTGGCCCTGGCAGGAAAGTTGGAATTAGATGATCTTTAGGGTCCTTTCCAACCTGTATTATTCTATGATTTTATGAGATTCACAGAGTAGTGGCTTACATCCCCCTGAAACTTTTAGTTATACCATCTTTTCTCTCCCCTTCATAGCGCAATAAAAAAGAAATCAACAAATTTCTGAAGCTAAGATGTTCTTTTTTGCATTTTTTCTGTACAGATCTTACAAACCAGAGCTTGCAAGCCACCACAGTTTTCAGCTTTAAAAGGAAAGAAAGGAAAAAGAGAAATAAATCAGCTAAGGAGAGATATTATGTTCCACAATTTCAATAACTCTGATCCCTGCACTATGGATTGTTTCAAATCCCTCCAACTCTGGGAAAAACCTAATTCACTCTCTTGGGAAGCTTATTCTCTATAGGACTCTGCTGTTTCTGAGTGGAATGAAGATTTCTAAGTCTATGTCTTTTGAGTTTTACCTATAGAAGACTTGCACATTTCCTCAGAGAAAAAGGCACCTGAAACAGAGATGTTATGTAATGCACTGCTAAAAAACAGTGTTCAAACTGTACAGCCAAAAGACAATGAAAAATGAGGTGGACTGTGGAAAACAATACATATTTGGGTGTCAATTGGACAAACAGGCAATTTCCATTAACCAATATTATATGAAAGATGAAAATAAGGCACAACATCACAACCTGTCCTTTAAAATGAGGTTCTCCCTTTGTTCCCAAATCAGCTTAGCCCCTGCACTTTATCCTCCAAGAAAGCCTCTCCCTTAAGCTCACTTGTGCTGTTTGAAGGATAGGGTAAAATTATTCCAAAGATCAAATATTCTGCTCTACAGAAGGATACACCTGGAGAGGATCTACACTCACTCTTGTCATGTGCACCCAGCATGAAGAGTGAGATCAAAGGATTTTTGGTAGTTAGGTTAATCATCCACCTGCCACCAAAACCAGGAGAAAATAACAACTTCCTTTCCTACATTATGGAATTTTGGAACAGTAACATGGACAGACAAGGTTCTAGACCTTTGATATATTTTGCAGGTCTGTGTGATTTAGGAGCCTTAAAACTTACTTTCCTCAGTGTTTAAAACCTTCTCACACTGTCCAAATTCCTCAGGTGCACTAAGGAAAATCTCTAGATCTGTTGCCAAAAAGTCATGTTTTAAATGTTGGAGCCTGAAGATTTTTAGAGAGATTTGCAGAAGGATGTAGATTATTTTAAATGAGGAGTCTACCTCCACTGCAAGGTGTGGAAATACTGAAAATACAATCGATATTTTGTGCCTGGATTCCAGGGGCTTTCAATGAGGTGCAAAAGTTTCTATGTGAATTTGACTATAAGAGATATAGATAAAGATATAGATATTGATAGATATAGATCATGCTTTGTAATTGGGAGTCAATTTTTAAGTTTTCCAAGCCCTTCCTATTTTTAACCATCCAAAATGTGACCCTCCAGTTCCTTAATATTACAATCTTTTTTGGTCTTAGGGACTGGACACTTTTAGCTATGTACATATTCTGTAAATCAGCACTTCTACACATTCACACACACCCCATCATCTGGCATATAGTAACTACAGCATTAAGAATCTGATTCAACCCCCAATCCTAAATTCAACTACAGAAGAACTGCACTTCTCATTTTCTCCCTGAAAGTCAATTCTTGAGCCTTCACATGGTGCAGAGAAGTTTGGAAATGAGGCACATAAGATGGCTGAGCCTGGAGATAGGAACTAAATTTGTTTCATCATCTGATTTTAAGACACTCTTCCAGTTGACACTCGAGAAATGAGAAGGAATTGAGTCACAAAGCAGATTTTTAGCAAACTGCAGATCTTGGGCTTTCACTAGTCACTATAATGAAGCTGGCTCCTCAGAGAGTGATTTAAAGCAGAGTGAATCATCCCTTCTCAGCAAGATTGCATAAGGACAATGGTCAGAGTGGCTGGCTCTGCACAAAGACTGTGTTCTAGGCTAAAGTAACTTTCTGAAGACTGAAAAATGGTAAGTCAAATGGTCACAGGTTTGTCGCTGAAGCACTGGCAGCTCCTCTGTGTTACTCTAAGGAGGTGTACAGTGAAGAAGCAGGAGTTTTGCCATTATCAAAAGACTTGTACTCCTTGTAGAAGACACCACATTTTATCAGACGAGAGGTACAAACATGGAGACTATTGCACTGCAAGGCATGTGCTGAATTTATACCAATTATGATGAACAAAACCAAGGATATACACCTCATGTTCAGGTAAAGCAAGCAATCCCTTCAAGTCAGATGCCTTTCTCCCCTCCATGACCCACCCAAACCAAGCCAAGCCAGTGGCCCTAACTCACCAGTAAAACCTGTTTGGAGTGACCCGCTCATGCATGAGCTGCCATTTCCTTCCAAAGTCCATGGAGCTGTACAGCTGGAAGACAGAGAGAGAGAAAAAGCATAAACTTTGAGGATAAAGAAAAAAGACTGTTGCTAGATAAAGTATTAAAATCAGCTCAGATTAAAAAACACAAATGGATTGCTCACAATAATTATACACAATTATAGATCACCTTCACTTCCATGGGAGGCTAACAAGGCAATGTCTTCCCTTCACCTTAAACCTGACTGGGCTCCTGAGAATTAAAAGCAGGTTGTCTCTTCCCAAACCCTGTCAACAACTTTGTGGCTCCAAATTTCAGCTGTCAACACATTCACTTTGACTGCCATGTAACAAAGCTGGCTGTTTCCCTGGCTTTTTTTGCCTAATAGGAAGCAGGTGACATGTGAGCTCCTAGTATCAAATAGAACAAGAGACAAATCAGATTAGTCAACATGACTCTGATGTGGTAGTGACTCTATACTCAAGGTCATGCCATGATTTGTTTTTATGGAATGAATCAGATCTCTTCTGTATTGAAAAGTAAATTGCTCCTAATTTATATTTTCTAATATTCAGAATGAGGTCTAAATTTTTAGGTAAGTTAGAAATCAACCTGCTCATTGGTTAAACACCAAAGACAGTGATGTGACTGTTCTGGAAAGCCAAATTTTCAATGTAATGATCTTTTTGAGTCTTGAGAAATAACACAGCTGGAATGTAACCAAACTTCCATACAACTCCACACTGAGTTCCAGACATATATTTGACTCATACATACTTCACTTAATACCATAAACACCATCCTCCATGCAATTATTTTCTTACCCACAATGCATCTTCTCATAATCAAATCATATGCAAACTCCTTTTCTACAACTGTGAGCAAATTTGGTCCCTCATAGAAAAAAATATGCTTTACCACTAGATCACAGAGAACGAAATATCAGGCAGCATTTTGATCAGGATTTCAAATAAATTTCATCTGATATAAATTCTGGCTTAACAAAACAAGGGTTGATTTCCATCTAAGGAGGTAGATAAGAGACCTGAAGAACATAAATGTTTCTAATAGCCAAATTTAAGTCTTTGGTGGGAAAATGATACCATTTGAGCACATGAGATTCTGCATTACATTTTGAGTACCTGGGCTTGAAAATTGGAGACAGGTCCATGTTCAATTGGAAGGGTTCACAGCCTAGTGATGTCTCTTGGTGGCACAGCTGTGATGGATGGCTAAGTGTGACTGGGAATATAAACCACATGTGCTCACACTGAACATTAACATTTCTTGAATAGGCATTATCTTTGACCACAGAGATGCAGCAGGCACACCAGAGATGAACCATTGATCAATTTAGAAAGATGATTGGAAAGGGCTGCTTGAAAGTGTCCAAAGCCTGAGGCAGTTAATTAATTCTTGCTATGCTTGTACACAGCTACACAACCAAATCACTGTATAGCCAGCAAAAGAAAGTCAGAAACTGAAATTCAGACTCCATCAAGTATCTAATGCAACTGATATGTGTAAAGACAAAAGAATCAGGCCTTTACATTTATGTCAACAGGAATTCCAGATTGGCCAGTAACAGGTCAAGCTGCCAGTAAAACACATACGGAGGAAAGATATGGAAGCAGGCATCCTTCAATCTTCATGTCAAAGAAGGCTCCAATTATGTAAACTTCAGCCAACAACACTGAGCTTGTTGTAAGAAATACTAGGAGAGATTTTCTGCCCCTTGTTCTTCAGGAGGTCAGATATTATCTGAATATTCTAATTTGGCCATATTTATTTAGCACTGTCTCTAGACAGTGTAATATACTATGCTAAAAGTTCACAATAGCCATACTTCCTCTGCTTTTCAGGCAACTGTCTAAAAAAATATGATAGTCCTCTGCCCCAGAAGGAATTCTGCGTAGATACAAAATAAAGCAACAAAGCATCACTTGTCTTTTTTAATTGAAAGAGCTGGGAAAAGAAAATTCTTTGTCCAAATTCGAGATTAGATTTAAGAAGTCAGCATCAATATTATGATAACTAATTCTCAGAACACACACCTTTTTAGAAACAATAACTGAGAATCCACACTCCAAAGTCAAAATTCTACGCTTCTACGTCTCTGCCCCAACTTTAGAACAGCTCCTGCCAGGAATCTTGGACATGGTTTACACATACAAGGACCTCAGCACAGATGGAGTTACATGAACAGCTTGGTAATCCTTTGTGTGTCCTAACTACAGGTGCAAGTTAGGCTTCAGGCAACTTAGTCACAGTTAAGTCATTCTCACAAGGAAGTCCAAGTGGGCCTAGCATCCTGATTGTATTCTGCAATGGATTAACACACTCACCATGAGAGGAAAGGATTAGCAACACACAGCCATTTCCTTCGATTCTCCTTTATCTTTTGCCCCTGGCATTTACTTCTACAGCAGCATAACAGCAGTAGCTAAGAAAGCTCAGTGACATAAAGCACAATCTTTTTCAACCAGTCATGTCTCCCAGTGTCTCTCTCAGGGAGCATTCCACTCTGTATCAAGTTGAAAACCTGAGACCAGCCACTGGTCTGGGTTTTTTTCCTTTCTTTTCTCTATTAAAGCTCAGACTGACTGATGTCAGAAAGATTAAACTGAACTTGCAGCCTTTATGTGATTTCAGATAAAGAGGATATTATTCAATAATGTATTTCAATAATTTTTATTTATTATTCACCTACTTATTCTGGGCATCCACTTCAAATTTTAACCAGATGACTGAGTCTCAAAGATGTATGACAGAACAAACCCCTAAAAGGCCTCTCTGGCCCAGTGCAGTTTTATAGTATTATTTACAGATGCAAATGCAAAGGTTAGTGCTGAATAAATAAATAAAACATACAATAAAGTGATTTCTAGTATGCATCAAAATGGAATATATACATATACTTTTTGTTTATCTCCCCCACGGGAAAAGACAAGCTTTAGAAGAGACAAATAATTTAGTGGCAAGTACAGCAGATTTCAACTGAAATTAATTTGTCCTAGGGCTGAATCCTAAGGAAATGAAAAAAAGTATGTAAATATGGTGCCAAGATTTTCCCATTTTAAAGCTCTGCTCTGACTCTTTAGTGACAAGTAATTTCTGGCATTTCCACCCCCCAGAGCACTCCAACACATTGGCTCAAGAGGGATGGACTCCAGCGTACCATGGGGATGGTATTGGGAGGGTGTGGCCTTTCTGGAACTTCCTTCTGTTACTTGACTTGCTCTGATGACTGAAAAATTAAGACCATTACGGGTCTTTATGTTTGCTTGGGCAGGTCTTGTTCCTTGATGCAGCTAAAGAGTGGCTTGCAGCAGCTCTGACTCTGCCTCTACTCAGGAGCCTAGTCAGACCTACCACTTAAAATAGGAAATACAGAAAATACCATCAAAAAGGTAAATGGCAAATATTTATCCAAACAGCATCACTCCCCACTCAAGGACTGTAGCACCAAACGTATCACATCCACCAACACAGCCCTGCAGTTCACCAAGAACACAATCTGTGCGAGGAAAGACTTTGGCAGCGCCAGTGATACACAACTCTGTTTCACTACAGGCCAGACCTTAACTCCTGCTTGTTTTGCTCAGCACAAATCTGAATCATGAGGGTTTTACATACCACGGGCAGAATGCTTCGTCTTCAAACTCTAAGAACAGAGGCAACATTTTATTTCACACCAGCATTGTTTCCAAGTAAATTGGCAAGCCCCTTAAAGAAGGAGCTTTATCCCTGGTGTCAGATTCTGTGCCACAAACACAAGCAACATGTCAGATACACATTCAGAACTACAAAACTGTAAAGAAAGGAGCTATACATATATACATGCATAGTGTTGCATAGGAAAAATGCAGTTGCAACTCTCCAGTACAAACTCTCAAGGTGACACATCATGTTGGCTGGCTTGGAAGATCTTGTTCAGGGTTGTGGGTAATTTGGTTTGGGTGTTCTGTTTATTTTACCAATGAGAGCTAGCAAAAAAAAAAGAATGGTTTTCCAGAAGAAGCAAAGTGTCTCAAAACTGAAACAGCATGAGAAACTGGCCTGCTTCAATTCCACTTATGGAGAGAGGGGAGAAGAACAAGCAATGAAGGAACCAGAGGAAGAGACTCAAACCCCTGGTGTCAGTTTATCCATGTCTGAGCTGGTCACCAAGGCTCATTTTTAGATGGGCAAGACAGTTCTAAAACTGCTCATTTTTCAAGCCTTAGACTCTTCCACCTCTCCTGACAGACACTAAAAAAGCTCACAGTGACTAGTGCAGAAGGAGATGACCCCACCAGAGACACAGGATCTGGTTGAGAGGAATTTCATGATCTTCTCCCTGTTTGCAGGCTGACCTGCTTGGTCTTCACAGGGGAAGCACCCAGAAGATTGAAGGCAGGCCCAGGAAAGACTAAGCATACAATAGCCTGTGTACACTCCATCACTGCAAGAAACATGTACAGATGTCACTTATAGACTGAAAAGCAATAGAAAACAGACTAAAGAAATTCACAGAGCTTTGATATTTATAGACTTCAATGTATACACATGTAAGGGCACCAGGAACGTACATAACAGCCTATAAGCAAATAAAATCAAATATTGTTTTTTGCTATGAAATCAGGTCTATTGGCCTGAGAAAACATCTGGTGAGACTCTCCATAGTTTCCTGCCTGCCAACCATCCAAGAACGCAAATGATGTCAGATAAACTGAGGAAGATCAGCTGAACTACATGAATTTAGAGGAGCAATTAATTATTACACAAAAAAATTATACTTCTTCTAAACAATACATACAGCTGATGATGGAAAGATGTATTCAAAATAAATGCATCAGGGTGAGAGTGGGTCTAGTGGTAATAACTTGGCAACAGCTGACACATTATGAGGAGGGTCAGATTAGCCTGGCCTGCTTGGCCTCAGAAGAGCACGATTCCAAGCAGTAGCTCAGATTGCTTACATGAAAAGATGGCTCTGATCCCAGAAAAGCACAAAGCAAACTAACACCTTCTCAGCCAGAGCTGGTGGGAAAAATCTACAAGATGTGTG